TTGTCGTTTAAAACTTGATAAAGTGATTAAAAAAAAAAAGAAAAACAAATAACATAAAATTTTCACACGCCAGGGCGATTACCCAAGGCCGTTAATTATTATGTTCTTATAATGATTTATAAAGCATTGTCAAAAACAGTTTGATTTTTCATTGTATTTAAAGGCTTGAAAATACATTGCGTTCCTTTTAAACAGATTTCAACGTGCTCTATGGGATATTACACCTGCAAGTATTTACCCCGCAAAGATATTCCCGTAAATCAATTCATTTCATAATAAAACTTTTGCCATAGTTCCTTACAAAAGATGTGTTCGAAAAAGTAAGAATGCTTATAACCGTTCTCTAAACAGATTAATCATATATTAACCATATATATTTCTTGTATATAGATTAACCATATATATTTCTCTATACAGGTTAACCATTTTAACAACCACGGAAGATTTTGTTTAAGTTATATAACTTCGCAATAGCTATATTTGGTCGAATACATTTGATCAATGTTGGGTTTAGTTCAATCAACTTTTTACGATGTATTTACATACATTGGAAAAACGTTGATTTATGTACATTGAATCAATGTCGAAATATATTCCTTGAATCAACGTTGGGTTTAGATCGTAAAAATAATCAACTTTTTTCGATTTTTTACATACATTGGAAAAACGTTGATTTATATACATTGAATCAACGTCGAAATATATACATCGGATCAACATTGGGTTTAGATCGTAAAAACAATTAATTTGTTGCGATGTTATTACATACATTGGAAAAACGTTGATTTATATACATTGAATCGATGTAGAGATATATTCATTGGATCAAAGTTGGGTTTAGATTGTAAAAACAATCAAACTGTTTTGATGTTTTTACATACATTGGAAAAACGTTGATTTATATGTAATGAACCAACGTCGAAATTTATACATTGGATCAACATTGGGTTTAGATCGTAAAAACAATCAAATTTTTGCGATGTTTTTACATACATTTACATTTGAGAAATGTAAATTTGCCAGATGTTTTTGTAGTTCCGTTGGCAATAATTTTATCATTAACCAAATGACATTCGATCAACGTTGGTTTTGCATTGGAAAAAAGAGCCGACGTTCGCGACGGTTTTACATATGTTGGCCTAATGTAAGTGTGCTATCTAAGAGATATTAACAAGTTTTCTAAAACTTGCGTCATCCACCATTGTCACTGGATTACATGTTGCAACAATCATTTGAATAAGGGAGTTTACTCAACTTTTATGCTCGTGTGAATTAGTAAGCCATGCGGTATTTCTGAGAGTTCATGCATCGAGTCAACGTCTGGTTTCGATTTAATAACGATTTTAATAGAGTCCATATTCATCCAATATTTTTCTCTTTATCCCCGTGTGCTTTTTTTCTCTTAACTTCTTTGATTCCGAATCTTCCAGCTCAACGGGTAAAGACGGATAGATTCTTGATAAAAGAAGCTAAAAATATATAAACAACTAACTTGTGTAAGTTGTTTGTATATTTATACTTCATTTATCAATCTATATCTTTTATCAATCTATAATACCTATAAATAAGATTTTTAGAGTAAATATTATCTACATGTAGATGTTTGTCTTAAAAAAAAGTAAATGAGGTGTTTGTTTTAAAATAAATGTGACTTAATTATAACACTAAAGAAATTTAAAAAAATTAATTGTAAAAAAGTTTAATTGAAATTGTCAAAAACTCTATTCATCGCTTGATCTATTGTCTAATATTAAATAGACTTAACTATTTCTTTAAATGGCTTGAAAATAAGTCAATAGAAATTTAAAAAAATTAGTTGTCAAAAAGTTAAATTGAAATTGTCAAAAAGTTTTTATAGAAAAACCAATAAACCGACAACCGATAAACAAAAATTAAAAAATTAAAAAATATATATCTACTACGAAAAATCAAACCAAGATTTTTTTTTCCTTAAATTTTTGTATATTAGTTAAGAGGAGTTTACTAGATAAATGAAGCCATGCTTTAAATATTTTCTTGTACTTTTTCTAGTAAAACAAAAAATACTGGGTGAGAATACAGGTTCAAATATGATCTATAACACCATTAAATATAGTAAAAAATATTTTTGTTAAACCCCTTACCCTCTAATAAAGCAAAGAAATCAGCAAGTTCGATTAACGGAGTGAATGGAAAAAAATTCTCAAATCAATGTACTAATATAAATGCGTATGAACGAGAACAGAATGAAAACGATAATTTTAAATTACTGAACGGAATAAAAACTGAATCGAACCTAATTCGAATATAGTTACTATATAGTTCGAATATATTTATTTGAAACGAAAAAAAATAAAATCAAGAGGGAATGTTAATAAACAAAGCTCCTCCATTACTCTAATTGCTCTTTCAGCACATTGATTACTTCTGGGAATGTTGATTGCTAATGGTTCTGGATTCCAATGACTTGTAAATGTAGCAAGAGGTTTCTTTTTGTTTAATAAAACTTCATGAAGGTCTGAATAAGTGTTTTCTTTATAGGTTTGGTCGTCAAACCAAAAGTCTGCCCACTTGTAAGAAATAAAGGTACATACAGATTCAAGTTTGTTTCTTGTTTTTGGCATAAGAATGTAGGCTAACAACGCTAAAATAGCTCTTGAACTCCTCCGAGCATTACTGATATTAGAGATTTTTTGAAATCTTACATTAGGAAATATTTTATTTTAGTCATAGTATCGGTAGGTTCTCGTCAGATAAAACAGAAACTTCATGTCATCTCGCCATCCTCTTGTGTCTTTTATTTCTTCTGTACCATTATAAAAATTTGTCTTCAGTGTTTCATAATGTTCTAACAACTCGTTAGTAAAAAAGTAATTAATGTTTGGTGAGTTCGGATTTTCTCCCAATTTTTCTTCCATTTCTAGTCTAAGTATTCTATCCAAGATATGATGTTGACATGGTACAAATTGAGGTTTTTGTAATCCTTTTATTTGAAAAATGTTCTGAAGTTTTACAACAACACCATTTTTGTTTCCGGTTTTGAAATTTGTAGTATCTGTCACAATCATTTTAATTGAATTCCATAGTTTAAATTCATCTATAATATCAGCTATGGCATTAATAATAGTGATAGATTTTCCATCTATTAACTTCAGTGCGCCCAACTTTATTTCGCTTCTTTCATTTTTAAGAACGACAACCTGATACTCCCATTGGTCTATATGCTTTCCATCGAAGTGTAGACTCCAATTCTCATTCTTTAAATCTTGAATTAAAGTTTCTTTAAATTGTTTTGCTTCATTAAAAAGAGCCTTGTATATTCCAGACTGTGATGGCGCTGGAACATGTATGCCTTCTGAGAACAGTATTTTACCTATTTTAGAAGCTTTCCTAGTTGATACCTTAGCACAAACCACTAACTTTGTTGCTATTTTACAACTACTATATTTTTTACGTCTTTTCTTCAAATTATTATATTCTTCATCTGTAATTTCATTACGTATCTCAAATTGTTCATCAGTTTCTTCAAATTCGGAACTAGAGTTGTCTCCTTCTATTTTACTACTTTCAGTAAATGAAGAAAAACTTTTAGATGCTGAAGGTTGGCTGGAAAGTTTTTGCACAATTGATGGATGAATAGTCTTCTTTCCTGCCAGCTTTGAAGTAGCATATCCAATTTCTCCTTTGCTTTGTAACTGAATTTTATAAAATCTTTTATCTTCAGATGATAACCAAATGCCATTTTGATTTGTTATATCAAAAATCTCTTTTTGCAGAAGGTCGGCATTCCCTTTTTTTCTGAGACTTTCATATTTTTCTATAACATCATTAATCTTTGCTTCACTGACTGCTCTGTCAGACATGGGAAATTTAATTGTTCTTTCCACAAACTTATAACTTCTTCTGAAATAAGATCTATCCTTTGCTTTTTGGCTTTCACATCAGTACTAGATAAATACTTAAACCTGCTAACAATGTCACTTTTTAATGGCATTTTGGAATATTCTTGAAAAGATGTTTCTAACATTGGAAACTGTCTACTTTTATGCGAATCTTGAAATTTTACAAGATTTTTTTTATAAGTCTCTTTATTTTTTTCAACACTTGATTGGCAGTATTTGTATGCCATTTTAATTAAAAGCAGCACAAAAAAATCTGAAACTAATTAACAAACAATTAGGCACGGCAGTGAAAAACTAGAAATTATAAAGTGGTAATGCATACGTCTGGTATGAATTTAAATTTTTATATATAATATATATTAACCGTCTATATATATTTTATTATATATAATATAATAATATAATATAATAAAATATATATAGAGGGTTATGACTTCTTTAACTTATGTTTTCTGGCCCATATGTAATATGTATAGTGTATTATATTCCTATCTATATTGTATTAAAAAACATTTCAGCCGAGGGCGTGACATTTTTTTACACTTGAAGGAAAATAAACATTTCTTCATTGTTTTATAGCAAAAACTCATCCAAAAATAATATGGGGTTGTCTAAATTGTATAAAAAGTTAAAAAAGTCATATCCTTAGTGTGTATGCATCTTTGATCATAGGATCAAAGGGGCATAAACGCATTAGGATCAAGGGTGCTAACCTGCTCCATTTTTACAAAAATTCTTTTTTTGTCATATTAGATACTTCTATAGCTTACCAAAAGCAACCATACAAGAGGTGAATAGTTAAATTACAAAATGACATAAGCAAAATTATTCAACTTAAAAAAATATTAAAGATGTGAGGTTCCTTGTAAAAGTAAAAAAAATACTTTTTGTCGTCAAAATCATACTATTTAGAAATAAATTCAATAGTGGTCTATTCTCTAACCAAAAGACAATTAACTTTGAAGATACAATATTTATAACACGCTGGTTATCACCCCTCTTTAATAAGTTATGTATGGAGATAACGCTATAGGATCAAAGGTGCCTACGGATCAAGGGTGCAAGTTCTCCCCTAGTATAATATGTTATATCTCTTACAGTAAAAAAAAATCGATAAAATAAAAATAACGTTTTTTTTAATATTCGATTCTTATTGTTTTGTTACGAAAAAATCTTCTCCTTGTTTTTCTGAATCGGTCTGAAATTATCACACATTAAACTATTCTGATTATTTGAGCTATCCATACTTGAGCGAAGCTTTCGTAGTGTTTTCAACTAAAAAATGATTAATGAAATGTATCAAGTCGTTTGAACATATTTAAACAAAAAATTAAAAGTGTTTTTTTTAACAATTATACAATTAAGTTGTTTATAAATATTATGTTAATAACATAATAATATTTTATTAAAGCAAAAAAAACCTTACAAATTTAGTAGGCACTTTGTGTTTAGAATTAACCACAACAAACCATTCTGCATCTGAGCAGGGCGGATTTGTTAAAGAACCACGATATTTAAAAAAATTACGGTGTCCAATTTTAATGTCATCTGGTAAAAGACCTTCGAAGAGTTTTTCCGCATTAATTGTAATTTTAGCCACGT